CAATTGATGAACATTTTTAAGTATGAAAAATATTCTGGGAAAGAAAATATTTTTCTTTTTTTTTTTTAATAATAAATTTTATTTTCATATTCCCCATACAATTGCAGCCCCCCCATTCTGACCCCAATCCCTCCCCTCCCACCCCCGCCCCCCAAAAAGTGTCTCTGGTTCGTAGTTTTTTGTTGATTTTGATTTTCACTTTCTTATAGTTATTCGTTTTCCTGGTCCCTTATTTAAGTTTTCTAGATTCCTGCTATGAGTGAGACCATCCGGTATTTTTCTTTTTCTTTTTGGCTTATTTCGCTGAGCATGATCCCTTCCAGTGCCATCCATGTTGCTGCAAATTGCATGTGTTTATCTTTTTTGAATGCTGAGTAATATTCCATGGTATATATGTACCACATCTTCTTGATCCAGTCATCTATTTTTGGGCATTTGGGTTGTTTCCAAAGCTTAGCTATTGTAAATAGTGCTGCTATAAACATAGGGGTGCAGGTGTTCTTTGGAATTGATGTTTCTGTGTCCTTTGGGTAAATACTTAGGAGTGGAATTGCTGGATCATATGGAAGCTCTATGTTTAGTAGGTCCAGAAATCTCCACACAGCTCTCCACAGTGGTTGGACCAGTTTGCACTCCCACCAACAGTGCAGAAGAGTTCCTTTTTCTCCACACCCTCACCAACATTTGTTGTTGCTAGTTTTTTTAATATGTGCCATTCTCACTGGTGTAAGATGGTATCTCATGGTAGTTTTGATTTGCATTTCCCTGATGACAAGTGATGTTGAACATTTTTTCATATGCCTGTTGGCCATTTGCATTTCCTCTTCAGAGAAGTTTCTTTTTAGCTCTTCTGCCCATTTTTTGACTGGATTCTTTTCAGAAAGAAAATATTTTTCAATGATTAGTAAATTAAAAAAAATCTTGCTAATGAATCATTCGTAACATGTTCTGGACTCACTTCTTACCTGGTGGTAAAGGGCTCCTGAAATTAATTAATTCCTATGCAAATAGTTTTGAGATTCATGATGCATTTTTTTCCTGCAGGTGGTAGCTGGATGTTTTCCAACATTAGTCCATAATAATTATTTTGATGTTCCTCATGTGGAGTCTATAAATTCTTTAGCTAGGGACTGTCCTACTGTATTTAAATTTTACTACCCAGCAGAGTGTCATGCATATGGTAGGACCCCCGTGGACTGTGTGGGTCTGCTCACCTTATGCGCTATGCTGTAATGTTGAATAACAGCTCTTCCAAGTTTGATTGCAAGACTTAAATCCTGGCTCTGCTACCTTCAGAATGTGTCCTTAAGTAACAAGGCCCTTTGTGCCTCAATGTATTAGTCTATAAAACTTGGAAATAGTAATAACACCTACTCAGAATGTAGTTGTGAGGATTAAATGAAGTACATTGCATATAAAATATGTAGAACCCTGCATAAAAGGATTCAGTAAATGTTACATATTATTACCTCTTAAGCTTACCTCTCAACTAAATAAACTCTTGGAGACAGAGGCAATTGTTATAATGCCCAAAGCTACATGCTTTCTTCCATATTTTATCCATTTATTGAGTATTTATTGAACTAATAAAAGAAATGAATGAATGGTTATATGCTTACAGTATCTTCTTCATAAAAATTCAAGAACATTCCAGAATTGATAGAGTTCTAACATTTACTACAATAAAAAAAGTTTTCAGAAACCAAACATACTTAAAAGTGGCCTAAGAACTGCAAAGACAATTCAGAGGAGAAAAGAAAAGGAAATGACCCACATGAAATTCTCCATTTCCCATTAGCTCCAACGGCAGAGGCCCGCCCCCCTGAGTCTTGGTGTCTGTGGCATCTTGAATGGCATTTTGCCCACGTAGGCACCTGCAGCCTGGCATGTGGATCACACACTCCTCCAGATGTAGCCTTCTACCAACTGTGGGTGAGGGACTCCCAGCCTCCGGCTCCAGGGCACTGTGAGATCATCATAAGTCAGGACCTAGTGCCTGTTGTCTAACCTGGAGCCTTTGGTCAGGTTAGAACAGGATGTTGTGAGGGACCCCTGCATCCGCATTCAGACAGGACTGTGGCAACTCTTATTCTACTGGCTTGCAGCTGCTTTTTTCATTTTGCAAGTTGCTTTTATTTACAGCATCAACTTTTGAAAGATCAGCCAAATTACCAGGACAATAAACTAGGCAGCATCACTTGACAAAAAGAGAGAAAGTCCAACATGTCCATTACTTTAGAGAACACACAGCTCAGTTTTATTCAGGGATTGCACCTGCTGCTTCTCTCTGTTCTCCTCATCTTAGGGAGGAGCAGGGTGATCCTCCTGGTGGGTATACCACAGAATGACCTTCTTCAATGTCGCTGCCTGAACATGTGTTGCAGAACTTGGGTCATCATCTCCTTCATCTTCCTTTCCCAGATCTTCCAACGTGGTCTTGGTGATCACAGGGTGTTTGATCACACGTGGTCTTGGTGATCACTTGGTGATCGTTCTTTGGCGATCTCCACATCAACTTCAGCCTCTCTCTGTCAGAAGTCTGCAGGTTATTTGAGGCATGTGGGCCAGTGGTGGTTAGAATCTGCAAAGAGAGGAAGAGAAAAGGCAGAGAGCAAGGCCACTCTCAGAGTTTGTTTTACCTAGACTGTTTCACATCTGGGTCCCAATGTAGATACTCAGTGTATGTCCTTAACCTAATTTATGTAAATAAATTGCATAAATTACTCACTGATTAGGTCTGTCATAAGGCAACTAAGTCCAAGAAAGAAGAAAGCCAGCCAATCTTTTTTTTTATTTTTGCTTAGAAGAACTGGGCAGGCCAGAGGTACAGGGGGTGAGAGGATTCCCCAGAGACAGAGTGGGGAGTGAAACAGGTGGAATGACTGAAATCCAGTGGTGAGGGGAGCAGCTGGCCATGTGGCCCCAGTGGTGACAGCACTGAGACTCAACCCCTAGGCCACCAGGGGGCCCAAAAGCCAGCCAGTCTTGTACTTAATTTCCTTCCCTCTGCCCCTGGCACTTACAACAGTGTGTGGCACATCATAAGCACTCAATGAATGATTGCACAAGGAATAAATGCTAAACACAAGTATTTGTTGTAAGGTGTGAAAATATCTATTGCTAGTCAGAAGTTTTCTCACCTACTATATTGTAAATGCTATTTGGATGAACAGAAGTATTGAATTTTAATGTAGTTAAGTGTATACATCTTTTCCTCTATGGCAAGCCTCTTTTATCTCTGTGGAAAATTCTCTGCTGCAAAGTCTAAATATATTCTCCTACATATTCTACTAGCCCATCACTTTGCTCCACCCCTGAGTTAACATCTTTATTGTTTGTTGGGGTTTAATGTAAGTGTGGGTCTGTTTCTGCTGGGCAGTTGATCTCAACTGAGACCAAGTGAATGGAGGCATTGGTTTTCTGGATGAGCTCAGCTGCTGTGAGTTGGTTTTTCTCCTTTGGACCAGTGGTAGTCAACATTCGGTATGCCTCAGTCCAGGTCGTTAAAGCACAGACATTGCTGGTGTTTCTGATTCCAGAGGTCTGGGGTGAAGATTCAAAATCAGCATTTTTAAGATTTTCCTGTGTTGTAGAAGCTCCAGGTTCTGGGACCAGACTTTGCGGCCTGTGTGCCTCAATTATAGTTCCATGGTTCATGTGCCTGTCATCTCCTTTTCCCTCTGAAATTAATGTCATCAGATTTAAGTAGCCGCATGTATTAATAATAAACGTCCCATCAGAAAGGCAAATTTATTTAAACATAATACTGGAAATAGGCACATAAATATGTAATATTTTGGACTTAAATGTTGATGCGATTTCAAAAAGGATTTTAAAAAGGAGGAATGCTGCCCTCCCAGACTTTGATATTGGAGTATTTTTGCTTTGAGTTATTTTGTTAGGCTGTGATAACTTATGGCATATTTTTCTTCAGACCTAACTACTATATAGGGAATATCAAGTAAGTTAGCAGGCTGTTCTTCATTCGTAACACAGCTTTTATACTCGTCTTTACTTAGAGGTTTCTAATTTGATTTTATCCAGAAATAAAAAGGTTAATAAGAAAATATTTTCACAGAGGTTAATATTTAATGCATTGTTTTACTATTTTTTTTATTATTTTTGCATAGAACTGGAATGTAGGGCAGAGGTGTAGGGGGGAGGGGAGGGGAATGTGAGAGGATTCACCGGAGACAGAGTGGGGAGCAGAACAGGCGGATCTACCGAAATCCACTGCTAAGGGGTGCAGTGAGCGAGACAGGAGGGGTCTGCTGCGCCCTATGTGGGTCTGCTTGCTGGCTGGAGATCGAACTCAGGCCATCATGGTGATAGCGCTGAGACTTAACCCCTAGGCCACCAGGGAGGCCCTATTTTACTATTCCTAACAGCTTTATTGATAGCATTTCAAATTATCTGGGGTTGAACTTTCTTCTTGATGTCACCATCAATCTGATCAGTAACTCATTATACTGGATGCTAAAATTAATGATGTTGGGCCTCCCCGGTGGCGCAGCGTTTGAGCACTGGGTTGCAAAGCTGCCCGCAGCCTCTGCTGCGCCGGTTCGATCCCCGCCTGCTCCCTGGCCACCGGAGGAGAGTCCCACATGGCGCGCAGACCTCTCCTGCCGCCTGCTGCTCCCCTCAGCAGTGTATTTCATCAGTCTGCCTGTTCTGTTCCCCACTCTGGCTCTGGTGAATTCTCTCACCCTCCCGCGCTTCTGACTGTACCCAGTGCTTGTATAAATAAATAAATAAACAAATAAATAAATAAATCTAAAAAAATAAAAAATAAAATTAATGATGTTGATTTTTAAAATGCTGTTTGATTTTATGTATGCCTAAATTCGACTCACTTTAGGCCAGCAACTCTTGGAGCCTGTGCATATGTTAATTTACAATTTTGATTGATCCAAAATATCATTATTTAGATTTATATTCTGAATTCATTGATGGGAGAGATTAAAATAAAACTTAACAAAGCATTCTAACATAGGAAGAACATCACTTCTCGGCCTTTTGGCTAAGATCAAGTGTAGTAACATAGGAAGAACAGTAAAATAATTTATATTCCAAAGCTGAATGTAATTGATATCAGAGCTGATTCTTTACAAAAAGCTGTCTGGCTTCCTAAAAAATTCATATTTTGAAAACCTGTCAGTCTAATTGTTTCTGGAGAAGGTGAACTTTACTGAAAAGAATGAAAGCTTGATAGGGGTGGAGTCAATAGTGAGGTGCCACAGAGAATGAAAGAAAATGAAAGAGCTCGCATGTATTTTGATTAGATTAGATATATTTAAACAGACATGTGACTGTTTAACTCACTGAAATGTTCAGTAGGTGACACAAGAGGTAATTATCAGGAATCTTTGGTGAAACTATAGTAAGATTAAAAAAATGGGAAACTCCATGGAATACTCTTTTTTTTTTTTTAAGATTTATTTATGCATACAAGAACTAGAGTACAGGCCAGAGGTGTGTGTGTGTGAGAGGATTCACCAGAGACAGAGTAGGAAACAGAACAGGCAGATTAATTGAAATACATTGCTGAGGGGAGGAGCAGGCGGGTCAGGAGAGGTCTGCTGTACCATGTGGGTAGCTCCCTGGCTAGGGATCAAACTCGTCCTGCAGTGGCTATAGATAGCTTCATAGGTTGCATCTTAACCCCTTGTGCCACCAGGGAGGCCCTCCACGGAATACTCTTATGACACCACCCACACCCCCTGCCACCCTTCTAGACCCCTGCGCCTGAGTCCACCCGGCTGGTATATCCCTGGCATCCGTCTCAAATGGTGGCCTTGGCCTGGGCTCACAGCCCAAATGCAGATGTCTCTGTTAGTCATTTGGAGTTGTGTTGCCCGGGGTTCTCACAGAGACACAGGGTGTCCCTGGCCCAGTGCAACCGTGAAGGGCCTTCTTAGGGGGCTTGTCTCGGGTCTTGGTTGGAGAGCAGCAGACTCTAGCGCTCAGCAGTGGGAGCCTGGCAGGCTTCTTGCAGTATGGGTGTGGCCGGGTGAGGCATGAACAGTGTGGGCATGGCCAGGGGCTTGTCAGGGGCCTGTCGAGGTCGTGGTGTGGTGAGGGCATGGGCTGTGGGGAGCATGTGTTACCTAAGTTTCCCTTTTTCACTTAGTGAATTATTACAGTGATTGTATAACCAGGGCAGCTTGTTAGTCACAGTTATGAGAAGATGATATCAGAAACCAGAACCATCATGCCATCATTCACTGTGGTGTTTGGCATCATTGAATTCAAAAACGAGAAAGAAAAAGCAAGCAACTTAAGCAAAAGGTTATGCACAACTTCTCAAAGCACAACTTTGGGAAGTGATACTGGTTTCCTGATGTCAGGGTTGATTATAGAAAATATTAATAGATTCCAGAACTGCATCTGTAAAAGTGCAACCTGATACGAGTCAGCTTGTTCAGGTCACACAAGCACACTTTTATTGATAAGAAATAACTGGCAGCCCATTGAGTGAACTTTAAGCGATCCCTTTACCCATGTGAAAAGCAGCGTGGTGGGTCTAGGTTTGCTCCAAGCTGGCTGGGGGCGGCACAGTGCCGGACCTTGCTGACCTGGAGTGGCCACTGCGGCCACTTCTCTGCGGGGCTCCAGAAACAGACACCCACTGGCAGTAGCTGAATCTTACGTGCAGTCTTGGGCCCTGTATTCCGGCTTCCGTGTGTCAGAAATGTCCATATAGACAGGTGGAAAGTAGATGAATGGATTAGGCTGGAGAGGATGGACTTCCCTCTCCCTGGGGGTGAGAGCTTCAAGCTTCAAAACTTGTTTTTGAGTTGGTGAAAATGTTTTAAAATTGTTTGTGGCGATGGTCACACTCTATGACTGTATTAAAAGTCATTGACTTGTAGGCTTTAAAGGAGTAAACTACAGGTACGTATTATATGCCCTCAGGTTAACACCAAAAACACTCACACATGAAACTGTCCCATAAAATACATGCGCCACCCAACTTAGATGTGATGTAAATGTGCATTATACTGTTTTTTAATTAGAATATCATCAGCATTCTTAAATTCCCCTTTAGACAGGTGAAAGAAGGAAGAAAATGGTAAATCAGGGCATAAGAGAATCAGTCATCTATTATTTAGTCTGTGTCATTTATTTCATGTGTTTGCAAGGAAAGGGCAGATTTGATGTTGCTGTCGAGGTTTTGCTTGTGATGGATGCTTGAAAGGAGGCATTGAAATGTGAGCTGGCTGTCGGATGGGCTGCTCCTCAGCCTCTAATGGCACAGGCTTCCCCTGGGATCTGCCATCTCCCTCGAATTCAGTCTCCCATACTTAACCCTTTGTGGCTCCATTCTCCGGAGAGCAAGACCAGCAGATACGAGCAGTCTTGGGCTCCCTTTGTTACCCTTGTCTAGTCTCTCCCTCATTGCCCGTCAAGACCTTTTTGACCTTGAATCAGGATCTGGTGGGCTGTCAGGAGCACTTGGTAGTCACCCAGCCCAGTGCCACAGACACCATCATCTTCTCCTGTCTCCGAGTAATAAGTTATCCACTCTCTTGAAAATGTGCGAAACCCGCATTGCTGTCTGAAGGGGTAAGAGGTTTGGCCTGGTTGTGATTCTGGAAGAAGGTGGGACCTGTGTGTGTTGGCTTGTTAGTATCTGACATTGCAAAGCACTGCCCCTCTGTCCTCTGTTAGTTGGCCCTTTGAGAGTGACCATAAAGTGTCCCGTGGGTTATATGTAACTACAGTGGATAAGTCGTCACAACCTCACCTCGCCCACTTTCTACAGAGGCGGGACCACGGGCAAGTACACAGGGAAGGGTGTCACCACTGAGGGCTTCTAAACACTAGAGAATTTTACACGGGATCTGCGTTGTTCTCCAGTGTGTGACCTCAGGCCCATGGAATGTACTTGTGCTCTTGTGACTGTGTCCAACGAGGCTCATCCCTGCCCAAAGACTTTCCAGCTCTCCATGTCGCCACCAATCTGGGCCAAGCGGGAAATGATGAGTCTTGAGCTGTGGGTCCCATGAGGAGGGGTTCTCTGGATTCTGGGGAACCGTGGGGCGCAGTGACTGACAGTCTCAGCTCTTGTGGCTTATCCACCTAGAGGAGCAAGATAACCAGTAGCCAACAGACAAATCTAGTAGTGCAATATGAGTGCTGCTAGGTGCCCAGCTTTAGAGCAGTGGTCAGGGAAAGCTTCTTGGGAAGACGACCGATGGGTTGAGATCCCCATGAAAAGACAGAGTGAGGTGACCAAGGAGAAAAGCCAAGCAGAGAAGATGACCAATACAAAATCCCTAAAGCAGGACTCAACTTGCAGACTCTAAAGAACCCACGGGAAGTCAGAGAGGGCAGCAGGGCTGAGCGGGAGGAAGATGGAATATGGGAAGTAAGAGCCAGGTCACCTCAGGCTCCGTCAGCCCTGGGAGGGAGTCGAGGTGTGTGCAGGTGGTGTATTAAAGCCAGACATCTGATGGGATCGCCTTGGGGGAGTGAGGAGACAGAAACCGGGCTCAGTACAGGTCTGGAGCCCTCAGCACTTACAGGCTGAGCAGAGAGGAGGAGAGCAAGGCAGAAGGCCAGGGAGGGGGTGTCTGGGAAGCCAGCAGGGGAGTGTTTCAAGGAAGAGGGTGTGGTAGTGCAGTGGGAGTGGTGGAGGCAGAGGAGCAGGTGTGCCCCGAGTCTGGGCAGCGCACAAGTCCTTGGGGTGCTACAGGACAGTCCATGGGGTGGATGAAGAGGACAGTGAGTGGAGAGAGGGCCGTCGTGACTGTCGACTTGGAAATAAGGATGCAGCATATTGGAAGAAATTAATGGAAATGAAAATGGGAATAAAAGCTCTTTCCCCTTGCAGGTGAGATAAGGCAAGATTGTCAGGCAGGGAAGCAGAGACTGACTAGCATGTCAGGAAGCCCTGTCTTGTGGATACACCAGTGCCGCCAGGCAGTGGACAAGGTCAGCTCGGATTGGAGAGATGCAGAACTTTCTAGGGTTTTGGACCAATCGCTTGTATCAGGCACCATCCTCATCCACATCAAGTCCTTAGGTCACACTCCCCCACCCCCACCCCACCCCCCCACCCTGCTTTAGGAAAAGAAAGGGAGACACCACAGGGGAGTAAGTGACCTTGGCCAAGGTTGCCATCAGGATGTGGCTCACCATGAAAGGGACCATTGAAAGGAGAGCTGAATGTGAAGCAGGAGGTGTTCCCCTGCACCCCCCTTTTCTTTTTCACCATTAGCATACTCATCAGTGAGGGAGTCCTACTCGCCTGGCTGAGGTCTTCCTGATCCATTCCCCCCACCCCCCACCCCCCACCCCCGCCCACCCCACCCCCTCCCTCCTCAGCTTCCCTCACCTGGAGCTGTCAGAGCAGCCACCTGACTTGTTCTCTGAGACCCTTTCATCCCTGATGCCTGCTGTCCACAGTCACTTGTCAAAACACAAGTCTGCTCAGGTGGCTACTTTGCTGAAAAGACTTTGATGGCCACCCGCAGTTCCCGCAACATCAGTCTTGATTACTTTGCTCCAGGCACACGGAGTGGCACTATTTCCGAATCTGCAGCCTAGTTGAGAAAGTTAGTTTCCAAGCTGAAAACATTTTGGTTCCTATCCTTTAGGTTAACAACACTAGACTGTAATTTAACATTTGACTGCATGAAATAACAACAAACTTAGACATTGGTGGAAAACAGCTGTATTCTAGGTTTCCCTGAAATTTTCCAGATTTTTCTTGATTCTTCTGGATCTCTCTGTCAGTGTTCCTGCTTTGCTGGTGCCCTAAGGAGATGCTGCATCTGGTCATGCCCTGCCCTCAACACATATCTGAATGGTGTGTCTCTGGCTAGGAAGTCTGTCCTCTTTATCTGTATTTAACTCTATTTGTCCTTCCAGGTTCTGCTCGCCTGTAACTTCCTTCATAAAGCTTCTCTGATTCCCCCAACAGAACTGGGACTCAGCCCTCAGTGTGAACCCCGGGGACAGTGTGTCCCGCTCTGTTCCAGTCAGTTGTCTTTGTGGCTGGCTTCCCTGCTCCTCCCTTCCACATTCTATCCTTAAGTGCTCATGGTGTTAAGTATTAGATCCACACTTCACAAAGGAATAACTGGAGTGCCTATTGCCTTCCTCACCATGCTATTATTAAGATCTCATGTGACAAATAAAATAAATGAAAAGGAAACTTCCAAATAAAATTAAAAAAGGTAATAAAACATGGACATAACTCTGTGTCCATCAGAAGATGAATAGTAAGCCAAATATGGTATATACACATGCAATGGAATATTATTCAGCCGCGAAAAAGACATTCTGGCACCTGTTACCATGTGGATGAACTTAGAGGACATCATGCTAGGTGAAATTAACCAGCTACAAAAACACAAATACTGGCTGATTCCACGTCTACAAAGTATTAGAGCTCTCAAATTCACTGAGACAGAAAATAGAATGGTGGTTGATGTCAGGGAAGAGGGGGCTGGATGGGGAGTTATTGTGTAATGGATATAGAATTTCACTTTCACAAGAAGAGATGTTCTAAAGCTGCATAGTGGTGATTGGCGCCCAAGATAATGATGTATTTAATGACCACCGAACCATGTTAGGATGTTAGGATGGTAAATGTGATGTTGTCTCTTACCATAATTAAAAAGGGGGGAGTCTTATGTGACAACAAAATTAATTTATAAGACTTGAAACTATGTAACTGAAGGCATTACAGGTTTTTACACTTTACTTTTTGGTAATTAGTGCCTACATTTATGTTTTCTTCCTTCCTGCCCATAGCAGAGGGAGAGGGAATTGATGTTTCCTACGTGAGTAAATCATTTCATGGTGATTAGAATCAAGCTCTGGAAGGCTGCTCTGCTCGGACACAGCACAAAATGGGGGCAGGGTCCCCCTGAAAGGCTCGGGAAATCCCTCTCCCCTGAGCAGATGCTGGGCTCCAGCTCTGAGGGCTGAAGACTTCCCTCCCTGCTGTGCCACTTTCTCCTCTTTCATCTTTATTTTTCTTGCTCTCACTATTCTCTATGGAGCCTTATTAGAGCTCACTCCATCTTATCCCAAGAAGAAAAATTGCAGGAGATGAATGTGTGATGGTGATGGTGGTACAGAGAACAAATAGCTTTTAAATTCATTATGAAAGCAAAGAGGATTGCGCCTAACATGTAATCTTTGGTGATTCAAACAGCAGGATTTATAGCAAGTAAATAAGACCAGTTTTCTCCCTCTGTGCCTTGTGTCTGCTTTGCTGTCAGGAACTTGTCGCCTTCTGCCGGCTCGCAGTCCAGCTCTTCCTTCTCCTTCCTTAGGATAAGGAGTTTTCACAAGCTGTGTGGGGAGCGATTTGTTATTTATTAGTCTTAAGTCTGTGCTGGCATTCACTGTCTTACTATAAGATTTTGTGGTTAATTCTCAGGGCAAGAGAGCCAGGCTTGTGGTCATTGTATTGTGTACATTGTATAGATTCATATTTATACAACCTCTTGTTTCTTCACATTTTCTTTTGTAATTTTATATGAGTGACTAGCATCCAGTTTACCAGGCATCCTTCTATCTCTATCCATATAAAAAAGACAAACTAAACTTTATTTCACTCACTCATTTAATGGTAGATCTTCCAAGAAATAGAAAAATATTATAGTAAGTAATAATTTTTTTAAAGATTTATTTATTTATTTATACAAGCACTGGGTACAGTCAGAAGCGTGGGAGGGTGAGAGAATTCACCAGAGCCAGAGCGGGGAACAGAACAGGCAGACTGACTAAGTACACTGCTGAGGGGAGCAGCGGACGGCAGGAGAGGTCTGACACCATGTGGGACCCTCGCCAGTGGCCAGGGATCGAACCAGTGCTGCATAGGCTGCGAGCAGCTTTGCAGCCCAGCGCTCAACCACTTCGCCACCAGGGAGGCCCTAAGTAATAATTGTAATAATTGTACTTATGAATCATAGTGATCATGGTATTTTATAATATATTAGGTATACAATAATTAAAGCAGTATAATTACTGTAATTATTATATTACTGTTGTAATTACAGTGATTGTAACAGAATCATGTTTCTGCAAAATAAGGTAATTTAATAAAATGTTATTATTTGGCTTTGTAGACAGACTCCTCTACTGTTCATCCTATGGTTACTGTTCAGCCTGTGAACCTAACCCATGCAAGGAGCAGGGTACGAGCTAGTGTTTCTGGGAGCTTCTAAGCCCCTGGACAATATAGAGGAAAGAAACAAGTCTAGTGCTTTCAGATTTAACTTTTATTCCACACATTTGCCTCCCACCCCAAAACCACACAAGACAAAAAGCCACCACCCTGCAATAATGTTCTTCCCCTTTTTTACCTAACCATTTTCACTCTTGTTCTGCTCTCTCTGTGGCTGTCGTGGCCCACAGGTGCCGGGTGTCGGGCCATGTGGCAGAGCAGCAAGGGGTCCTGTGGGCATCGTAGGGGTAGAGGCAGCTGATTTGCAGTGCCGGCCAGGCCCCCGTGCCCGCAGCTGTATCTGTGCTGAGTGTGGCCTGTCCTGCCAATGGGGTGACAGGGACCCAGGGCACTTGAGCCAGGACCTCAGCACAAGTCTAAGCCGAGAAGCTGCTAACCTGGGCCCTGGCAGGCAGCTGTGGGTAGATTCCAAGGCCTGGACACTTGCATGGCACAAATAACTCCATCTCTATTTTCATGAATTTCCAGGCTGCAGTTTTGCATTTTCTTTCATTTGTTTTCATATATTTGTGCAGAACATCCCCCTGCAGCTTCCTTCCCTTCCGCCCAGCACTCCCAGATTCATTTATCTGATGGTTCACAGGTGTCTAAAATGCGTCCTTTTTACCTGTCTAGTACTACCCAGATATGGGAACTTTAAGTTGCCTAAGAATCACCCTGGGGGAGGGCTCTTGTCCTTCCCTCTTCTCGTAAGCAATTTTCTTGTAAGTGATTTTCTGGGAGCCTCTAAGCCCCTGGACAATATAGAGGAAGGAAACAAGTCTAGTGCTTTCAGATTTAGCTTTTATTCCACACATTTGCCACAAATTTTGAATATGACACAAAAGTAGAAAAGTTGTATCAAAAAACCAAACTATGCCCTCATCACCAATTTCAGCAATAAGCAATGTTTTGAAAATATTGTTTCCTCTCTCCTAGTTTCTGCAGAGTACTTTCACTCACAAACATGCAGGTGTCCCTCCCCTCCCTGTCCAGCCTCAGAGCCCTCCGGATGTTTGTTGATGTCATCTAGTCGTTGCTGAATTATCTGCCTGTTGCTGAATTATCTGCCTTTAAACGGGCAGTATTTGTTTTTGTTGTTCTGATGGACTCTGCCCACGTCAGTCTCTCATGCACCCTCCACTTTGTTTAGAAGGGTTGTGTGGCTTCCTTTCTTGGGCAACGTTGCATTCATGGTGTGGACAGACCCCCACTTCCTGGGTCCGCCTTACTCTGCAGGGACATTTGGGCTGCTTCTGTGTCTACCTGTGACCCAAGGAGCCTCCATGGAGGTGGAGGCAGTGCACCTCAGCTGCACTGGCAGCTCCTGCCATCTGTGACCGAGGTTTCCTCCTCACCTCTGGCTCTAGCATGTATTTCACTGTCTTTGCCTGAAACAGGGGTGTTACTTAGCCCCATCGCCAGTACTGGTAATGCCATGGGAGCACACATCACACAGTGTCACCCACAGTCTGCGCTGCAGCATCCTGTGCACCCCGAGGTTCTGGGGCCCAGCAAGGTGGGGTTGGACTCTGGTGGGCAGGTCTCTCGGTCTTACCTGGGCTCACTGGTGGCTGTATCATGTGGCAGCTCACCTGGGCCCAGACGTGTGGCTCGGGGCTCACTGTGGGCCAGGCTGGCCAGCTTGCTTTCCCCTCGAGGTGCCTCTCTAGCTGTCCTCAGGGTCCAGAGCCCCAGAGCTGGTCAAAGGCAAGTTCAAAGTGGATGAGGCAGGAGACCCAAGGGGCATCAGGGAGGTGCGACCCACTGGGAGTCATTGCCATCAAGATCTGCTGGACCCTGATTTCTAAAATACTGTCATTTAATTTTAACACAATCAGTGTCCTTTGTAATCCTATATTTTTTTGCTGCAAGGGCAGAAATTTCCCTTCTAGCTTCTTAGGTTTCGTGACTGGGCCTAGGAATCAAAGGTACATGAGACAGATTAACAGGGAACAAGCCACGTGTTTCTTAAATCTTCTCACACGTACCTGGGAATCTTTGGCAGGGAAATGAAGGCCTGGAGAAGCCAGGCCCCAAACTTACACCTTTTTATACAAAGAACTGATGGAGGGATGTGACCGGACAGAGAGGCCTGGGCTGGAGGGTGCGGCATCTTTCTGGGGGAAGTTAAGTCCTGCTGCGGCCTGGGCGGGGGGTGGGGGGCTAGGGCCTGGTGGAAGAGGCCAGGGCATAGGTGAGGAGGGACCCTGATCTGAAAGCAGGGGGCTCTGGAGGGGGCGCAAGAGATACAGGCAGATGAAGGGGCCATCCCAGCTGGCAGAGAAGCTGGAGGGGAGTGACGGAGGCTGGAGCTCAGGGACAGGGCAGACGTGTGACTTCTTGGGAAACCCCGAATCTGTGGCGGGACCCCAGAGTCTGGCATGGGGGCATGGCATGCACACTGACCTGTCATTTCCTTTTACTTTTCATAATAGACTGTGGTCACCTTACCATTTTAGGGTGTAAAACTCCTTCTCTCTTTTTTCCCTTGTTTTTAATAATTTTATAATGCTCTGTTGGATCATCAATTGATAATTTATGTCATCAGTCCCCCCTGGGGCAAACATCTGGGCTGTTTCCAGGTTTCTGTGTAATGCCACATAAATTTGTTTTTCTTTTTTTATCTACCTCCATGAAAATATACCTGAGAATGACTTTTAAATGTAGAATTGCTACGTCATGTGTACCCGCTTTTGAATATTTGCTTCCACCAAGTTGACGATCAAGAAAGGGGGATACTGATTTGTACTCCTGGAGGTGTTTCTGTTCTTATTCTTAATTACCAAGACTTCCTCTCCCCTTCCTGGAACCTAGGAAAGCGTGTGACGGTCTGTTCTCTGGTTTCAGAACAACGAGATGGGGGAGCTCCAGAGAATACGGATGAAGGATGAAATCCGCGAGTACAAGTTCCGAGAGGCCCGGCTGCTGCAGGACTACACGGAACTGGAGGAGGAGAACATCACGTTGCAGAAGCTGGTGTCCACGTTAAAGCAGAACCAGGTGTGCTCACGCGGCGGGGTTGGGGGCGGCACATCTTCCCACCTCGAGGCTTAAAGTGTCTCTTTCCTTCTCAGAGGGAAACTGTGACACTGGCCTTCACCTCCCAGCAGCGTTCCTGTGCTGAGTTTCCCACCCTCCCATCCCAGCTAACGTTCAGAAGGCAAACCTGGGCATAGTCTAATTGACAGTCGAGCTTTGTGGGATGAGAAGAATTTTAGCTTATGCTTTAGCTCTCTGTTCATTTTTCAGAAGTCCAGGTGTGGTCGTCCACTTACCTGGATATCTCCTAGCCTGGCTCTGGGCCCTAAGCTTGCTTTGTACAAGATTAAGGTCTTCTGTGACCTCTTCCCACCTCCCTCCCCCTCCCTCGCTCTCATCCTCTCTCTCCTCCCTCCCCGCTTCCCTCCTCCCCTAGTAATTTCTTTCAAATCATTCATGGAGAGGGATTATGACATATAAATCAATACGAACAAAATTATAGCAGAGAAAATGCCCGATTGATTTTTTTCAGCTGTAACCTGCCTAAAGAGGTTGCATGTATACATTAAAATTTTTTTTTGTCGTGGGGGAGGGCTTAGACAATAGCTTAATTATTTAATTTTCCTGATTGGGTTGCACTGCGGTTTGTTATAGTTATGCGTAATAGCATTCTTGAATCTGCCCTTTTAGAAGAATTTGCTTATGAATACATTCTGTCCAGTAGTCCAGCCAAGGTGAGCTCAGTATTTGAGGTATTTTCAAGGTTCATCCTCATCCGCAAGCTGGATGCTGGTGTAGACGCGTTACAGCCTCTCGGGCAGTGGACTAGCTCCCTGTGGCCCCTGAGGTGGAAGGGAGAGGCTCAGGGCTCCCCGGGTTCCCTGGACGAGAGGCCAGCCCTGTTGTCTCCTCTTTCCACTCCCTTCTCCAGTTCAGTTTGTACCCGGAACCATCAGCCCCTTTGCTAGACACAAGGCTTCAACGAGGGAAGACAGTCCAGGTATTGACAAATCGCTGTTTGATTGACCACTGCCCCTTCCTGTGGTTCCAGACCATGAAGGAAAGGCCACCAGCTGCCCGCGCTGCTCTACTGCCCCCTCCTGAGCTGGCTCCGTACCTGCCAGACATGCAGTTTCTGCAGTGCCAGGACACTGGGCTCACAGATTAACCCCTAGGAAATTAGATATAGAAGAGTTTCTTAGGTATGTGCTGCGAAACTTCTTGAAATAAGAAGAGAATTTGGTTGCTGCCCGGTTGCTTATAGAGAACATGACGGACTCGAAGCAACCGACTTGGAGCACAGATACGCAGCAGCCCTCCTCCCCAGGCTGGCCCTGGGGTCCCACCCCGCATGTGGCGGCCTGACTCTCCTGCGAGGTCCCCAGAGCTGACTGGAGCCCTGGGTGCAGTCACAGAATGGACGTGGTTTCTGGGGGGCCGTGGTCTTGGGCCTCACCCTGCCTGCTCCTCTCACCAAAACTCGGGAATCAAATGCTCTAGTAGAAGCTTGAAAAAAAAAAAACAAGAGGACGTATATATACACCTCTTTGACTTATGAATTCATAAGTCAGTAAGGTAGCAGTAAGGTAGCTTACCCAGTCATGTGTTTGACTAATTAGCTTGAGGCCGTCTTCTAGGAAGGCAGGTCTGGCTGTACCCTCACACCTGGGCACCCTGTGTCCCCCCAGTCCAGGACACCCTGGATTTCCCTTTCCCTGCTGTCGGCCTCCATTTATGGGACTAAGTGTCTATAGCAAATTCTTCTAGTTAAAGAAATGAAGGATAATGCTTCAATTACAAATGCCATGGGTTGGCTGGAAGCTGTGATGGGGCTGGCACAAAGGCCCCAGATGGGCTGAATGTGGCTTTGTCCTGCACTCCGTTTGGTCCTCACTCCTCAGCCGGGCTGGTGTTCGCTAAACAGCCCTGCAAAACACTCAGCTCAGAGAATTAGAAGAGTCTTTCTGAGGTTCCACTTTTCTCTTCACCATTTATTATTTTTTATTGTTGTGTAAATAATAAATAATACTTCTTACCGCCTGTATAGTTTTTTTTTAAAGATTTATTTATTTATGCATCCAAGAACTGCACTACAGGTCAGAGGTATGGGGGGTGAGAGGATTCACCAGAGACAGAGTGGGGAACAGAATAGGCACTTGACTGAAATACACTGCTGAGGGGAGCAGCGGGCAAGACAGGAGAGGTCTGCTACGCCATGTGGGTTGCTCCCTGGAGGGTGAGGGATCAAACTCGTGCTGCAGAGGCTTCCGATTGCTCCATAGTGCAGTGCTTAACCCCTTGCACCACCAGGGAGGCCCCTGTATAGTTTCTACATGTTCTTTGTCGTGTGTAGCACAAAATAGGGCCTGCCCCATAGAAGGCATTAAATAAATACTTGGAATAATGGATAAATGTTTTATTTTTTCCCCTTTCCTTTCAGTCACACTTTTTACTTAGTGAGGAAGCTGAAATCTGGGACTATTGCAATTAACCCTCCCGGATTGTTTTTGCATAGAACTGAGGGGTGGGGGTGAGGGGAGATGTGAGAGGATTCCCCAGAGACAGAGTGGGGAGCAGAACAGGCGGATTGACTGAAATCCACTGCAGGAGAGCAGCGGGTGAGACAGGAGAGGTCTCCTGCGCCTTATGGCGGTCAGCTCCCTGGCTGGGGATTGAATTCAGGCTGTAGCAGTGCCAGCTTGAGATTAACCCCTAGGCCACCAGGGAGACCCTCAATGTGCTAACTTTTTAGACAACTAGGACCACTGGAGCGTCCCATGGCAGTTTTCTAAGACCCACGTTTTAGTTTTTCGCGTCTTCTCTCTCCTGTCTGTTGCAGGTGGAATACGAAGGCCTGAAGCATGAGATCAAGCGCTTTGAGGAGGAGATGGCGCTGCTCAACAGCCAGCTGGAGGACGCGCTGCGGCTGAAGGAGATTGCCGAGCACCAGCTGGAGGAAGCCCTGGAGACGCTGAAGAACGAGCGGGAGCAGAAGAACAGCCTGCGCAAGGAGCTCTCGCAGTACATCACGCTCAGCGACAACCACCTCGGCCTCTCAGTGGAGGGGCTGAAGTTCCCTGAGGACGGCGCGGAACCCAACAACGATGACAAGATGAACGGGCACCTGCACGCGCCCCTGGTGAAGCTGGCCGGGGACTTCCGTGCGCCCCCGCTGCGGCGGGGCGAGGCCCTGCACCCCGCCTCGGACCTGTTCAGTGAGCTGAACATCTCCGAAATCCAGAAGCTGAAGCAGCAGCTCATGCAGGTAAGGACATGGGGCAGCCAGAGGGGATTTCCCACCCTGGTGGTTCAGTTCCAGCTTGTCTTGGAAGTGTGTCTTCCACAAGCTTCGTGGAAAGGGCAGTGTTTCAGAAAGACCCCACTGAAGAGAGATGGAAGCGCCAGCTCCCGGAGGGGTCTCCTGAGGCACCAGGCACAGATGGGTGTGACTCGGCCACAAGTGTCCCGAGCTTTCTCTGACCAAAGAACTCACACACTTTTCTGTTCAAATACAGTAACAGAACAAACTCTTCCATACAGGCAACTTACAGAATATAGGTTTCCTTTCACAGCAGTACTTTAAGCCTTCAAAGGTATGACAGTCTTTCTGTATACAAAGTAGCCAGAACACCCTATGACTTAAAACACAGCACAGGTGCGAGCCTGAAACCAGGGCTTCCTGCTCCTGCACGAGCTCAGGATGCCCCATGCCTCTCTCACACCTGATGTTGGGCAAAGTCTGACCTTGAACCTCAGCTCATCAGCAAATGCCTTTCTAGCTTGAAGTCTCGCCTTTCGCCAACCCTTAACCCAGTTGCTAATGTTGCCTCAAGAAGGGGTGCCTCAGGCCCCCACCACTTGGGGCTTCCCCATGTGATATGTTGGCCTCTGCAGGGATCTGCTTGCCCAGGAGGCTGGCTCAGCTCGGTGGGAGACCAAGGTGCAGGTGGACGGGATTTTGTGGACCATGCAGGTGGTGAATGTGGACAGGTTCCCTGAGGGGCTGTGCAGGTAGTGCAGGTGGGTGAGCTCTCAGAAGGAAGAACTCGGCACTTGCTGGTGGTGCTGACACTCCTAGCTCCATGCACCTATGCCTTACCAGGACTCTGCTTAGCTGGTGTTAACATTTTAACAGTTACTGTTGGAGGATTAGCTCTAGGTCAGCAACCCAGGAGGAAAATGGGGCCACTGCTTGGGAATTCAGGAAGGTCAGGGTGAAGCCTCAGGGCAAGAAAGTCGGAAAGGGGATGTTACTCAGCCATGTGTTAGAGAAGACACCCTCCACCCCCGGGCCTGCAGGAGTTCCGTGCGCCTCCCTCTCTTCCATTGGGTCTTACTATGGTTGGTGTGGGGGCCGGGGCCAGGCCACAGGTCCCAGAGCTCGCGCCAGGTTCCATTGTGGGAAGCAGGCTGAATACTGGGTGGCCAGCCTCTAAATTTGTCTTCGGCAAGGTAGCTGTCTTCTGACAATGATATCAAAGAGCCTATCAACCTTTTCTCAGAATGTATTTCATTCAAATGGTAGATTACAGCATTACATTTCTGCTTAATTAGATTACAGCATTATGTTTCTGCTTAATAATTTCTCAGTTTTTCCTTAGCCAGGTTTCCCTTTGGCTTTTATTTATGTAAATAAGCACATTGTAAAACCCTTACAGGACATTTCCTAGAAATGACTGCAATTGGCTTTGATTTGGAGAGGCTTGAAAGTACTATAAGTCTCCTGCAAACAGGACTTGGGACCTTAGTGGCAGTAAAGTGCAGTAAGTGACTGCCATTCTTGGGCTGGGTGTTTTGAAATTCAGCATTCAGCCCTTAGGAAGTGGATATGCTGCATGTCTTGTGCATGTGGGCATAGCCCTGGGGGGCTTCATGGTCCCAAGGGTGACCTGAGGGTACTGGTGTTTCTGCAGGGAAACATGTGAGTCTTCACCTTTAAGGGAAGGAGACCAGGAGGGCTCCCCCCCCCCCCCCCCTCACCTTCCCACCTCCACTCTCCCTCTCCCCCTAAACCCCCCCTCACCTCCCCTCCTGGGAGCCAGGGCCTTCTGCTCAGGGAGCTCAGGGCAACTGAACACCACTGCCTGGCAGGGTTTGCACTCTGGGCCTGGGAAGCACAGTCATGGCTGGGCTGTTGGGCAGCTCCCAATTTCAGAGGCCTCCACTTCTAACCTCAGAGAACTTAAGAGTGACCTTTTTTTTTTTTTTTTCAGTTAACTGTTGCTTAGCGTTTCTTTTGGGTGCAAGACTCTGCATCTGAGACAGAGCCTTATGTGTTCAGATCTAATACCTGTGCTCAGCCCAGTTGGACAGTCAGTGCTGAGGGCTGGGGCTGGGTGCCTGATGCCAGGAGTCTGGGCTGTAAAGCTTTTCCTCCCAGAGTGAAGACAGCCTTTGACATAGGACATGGAGGCCAACGTCTAATCTAATAAGGCTCCACCTGTGCACATGAAGTGTGTTTCCCCATCCAGGGGTGTTTACTTAACCTGGTTCCAGAAAAAAAGAGGGGGGACATGTGTCTTTGTTTCTGCCCAGGTTTCAAGAATGTTGGGTAAGTGGCTTTGCTTCTTTGAGGCTCATTCATAAAAGGAATAATTTAGGGGACCAGTGAATTAGCCCCATGTCTAGTTGATGGAATTTGCCATGTCATTACTGGAAAAAAGACAGGTCTCTTCCACAAGCTACCACATAGCTTTTTCCTAGGAAATAGTAACCCAGATACAAATCCAATGGCAGTTTAGCTGGTGTGTCCCTGATGGGGAGCTGAAAACTAAATGGGGAGGCCTTGTAGCCCTGCAGCAAACTGAAGTGAACATGTCATGGAACTCATTTTCTCCCTCAGGTGTGTGGAGTAAATTATAGAAGTATTTTAAGTTCAGTCACACTTGCTCACTTTCACATAACACAGGCACATGAATAAATACAGCTATATGGAAATACATATAAGGAAACATATTTTACTGATCAAAGAGTTCCTATAAACTTGATAAGAGTCCTTGAGGGTGAATAGCTCCATTAGTGTCATTCTTTGTTCACGAAGAGAAAATTTTGAGATGGTCTTAGATAAATTATTTTGACTATTTGGTGCCCTCAAACTCAGGTATTTCTAATAGATTATAATTACATTTCCCAGTGACAGCCAAGTTACCATAATTAGTTTCCTTAGAATGAAAATGAGTAGATCCTGCCTGGGAAAACTGAGTTACTAAAAGAATTCTCTGTGGCCAGGCTGAAATTTCCACCTCTGATAAATGGTCTCTGTCTCACTCCATGTCACAGTCATGTTGGGCAGCAGGAAACTTCTTTTTTAATGTCACATTGGATATAGAATTTTACATGTAATATAAAAAAGCACAACTGTTTCTGTAAAATGGAAACATTGAAACCTTCCTGGTGGCCTAGGGGGTTAGTCTCAGTGCTATCACCTCTATGGCCTGAGTTTGATCCTGGACCAGAGAGCTGACCCACATAGGGCTCAGCAGACTCTCCTGTCTTGCCCGCTGCTCCCCTCAGCAGTGGACTTCAGTAGATCCTCCTGTTCTGCTCCCCACTCTGTCTCTGGTGAACCCTCTCACACCCCACACCCCATACCTCTGGCCTGGAAACATTAGGAATTACAAATACGAGGCATTAGTTCTGCTTTCTGTCCTCAAAGATGAGAAGGAATAAAGATTCGTATCGTGTTTGATTTACTCTGTTAAAGGGAAATTTAGCTTCCCTGTAACTATCATAAGCTGCCAACTTCCTCAGTGTCCCGTAAGAGTTCAAGGCAAAATATATTACCCCCACTATACAGCTAGGGAAACTGAGGCATAACTAGGTATACCTTTTGTTTAAAGTAGATGTTATCTCTGCTTAACAGAAACTCACAGCATATCCATGGGGTGAAATTATTTAAAACAAGATCGGCCAGTTCCTGGTTTGTTTTACCTAAAGTGGCAAAAACCATTTCCTTATTGGTTAAACTGTTACAGACTTCACAAAGACTGCCTTTCTAGGCAAGTACTTACACTTCTCAGAAGCCTGACTTTTTCTGCTCTATATCAGTAAACATAAAAAAAGATTATCTATAGTCACAACAAGGGGTCTATGAATTTTTTTTTTGGAAGAGTTTTATGAAGCTATAACTCATATGCCATACAGCCCGCCCATTTAAAGAGAGTAATCCAGGGCCTCCCCTGGTGGCGCAGTGGTTGAGCGCTGGGCTCTGAAGCTGCCCACAGCCTTTGCAGCAACAGTTTGATCCCCAGCCACTGGCAAGGGTCCTACATGGCGCGGCAGACCTCTCCTGTCATGCCCACTGCTCCCCTCAGCAGTGTATTTCGTCAGTCTGCCTATTCTGTTCCCTGCTCTGGCTCTGGTGAATTCTCTCACCCTCCCGCACTTCTGACTGTACCCAGTGCTTGTATAAATAAATAAATAAATCCTTAAAAATAAAATAGAGTAATCCATGGCTTTTGTATATTTACAGTCTTGTGCAAATATCAACACTGTCAATTTCAGAACATCTTCACTCCCCAAAAAACAAGCCCCACATCCATTAATATTCACTCCCCAAGCCCACTGTCCCCAGGCAACTGATAAATTTACGTGTTCTGGACCTGTCATATCCCTGGAATCATGTGATATGTAGCCTTTGTTTGGCTTCTTTCATTTAACATGCTGTTTCTAGGCTCATCCCCGATGAGCACATAAGACTTTGTTTCTTTTTCATGGCTACCTAATATTCCAGTATACAGGCATGCCACATTTTGTTTATCCATTCATCAGTTGATGGACATTTGGGTTGCTTCCCCTTTTGAGCTGTTTTGATGAATGCTGCCATGAAAATTCATGCATGTTTACTTGTGAGCACACATGCTTTAATTCTCTTGGATCTGTACCTCAGAGTGGAGTTGCTGGATCATGTGGAAACTATCTTTCCCTTCTGAGGGACTGCCAAGCTGTTTTTCACAGCAGCCTCACCATTTTACATTTCCCCAGCTGTGTAAAGAATTCTGATTTCTCCACATCCCCACCAGCACTGTGGTCGTAGCCTCGTTGTCTGGCTGGAATGTCCAGTGCCGCTTTGAATGACAGTGGCAGGAGCAGTCACCCTAGTCTTGCCTCGGTCTTAAGAGGAAGCCATTCTGCCTTTCCCCAGGAAGCCGTTACCTGTGGGTGTTTCATAGATGGGCTCCATTGGGTTCAGAAAGTTCCTTCTCTTTTTAGATTGTTGACTACTTTCTTCATGAAGGGGTTTTGGATTTTGTCAGATGCCTTTTCTGCATCTATTGGGGTGATCAGGTGGTTTTTGTCCTGCAGTCTATTAATACAATGTATTACATTGTTTGGGTTTGGGATCTTAAAGCAACTCATATGCTGGGACAAATTCTACTTGGCCATGCTGTCTAATCTTTTTTGAGTATTCTGGATTCAGTTTGCTAGCATTTTGTGAAGAATTTTTGTGTCTATAGTCATAAGAGATATTCAGTATTTGCAACTCGTGTGTCTTGTGCTCTTTGGTTCTGGTATTAGAGGAATACTGGTCTCATAGATTGAGTTGGAAAGGGTCCCTTTTAGTGTTTGTGTGGCTATTTTTGCATTTGTGTGTATGTGTGTGCCTATCTGCAGAGAGAGAGAGAGACAGTGTGGTGGGGAAGGGAAAGAGAGATTAGGAATTTTTTTTTAAACCATTCTTCAGAATATTCTCCCTTCTCTTTCGAGGGCTGGATCCCTTACCCTTGTGTATCGCTTCACTCTCTTGCTTGTCCTCCATAGTTCTCTTTGGTCGAGGCACAGCTATGCAGTCCCAGAGCTGCTTCGCTCCAGGTGGTGAAGAATAATGATTCTCACTTCTGCTTGTTGACCGGTAGCTCCAGGGACCACTCCAGCCACTCAAGTGTCAAGTTGAAGACCAGAATCGACTTTGTTGAAATGAGTATCTTCTCAATCAGCTTTGGTTTCTTTCCCTGTAGAAATCCTAATGTGATTGTACAAATTTTGATGATCTTTTGTTTCTTCACAAAAGAATTCATCCTCAATACATGTAAGGGTGTTTATTGGAAAAGTAAACATTTGGTGAAATCTAAACAAATTCCTATGGGACATAACAGCAGCAATGATCAGACAGACTACTTGCTTGCACTGGGCTAAGCGGCTTTCACATTGTGCAAATGTGAAAGTTTTCTGCTCAACCAACCAACCCTGTCATGAAAAATAAAATCCTATTTCTAGATGAAAGATAAAGATTGTAGGATGAGAAATAAGGCAACTATTCTTAGCCACTGCTGAAGATAATAATTAACTCAGCAATTCTCTCTTGGATAAATTCTTTACAAATGGAGATTAAAATAGTCACCTTAAGATGTATAGTAATTTTCATCTTTGAGTGCTTTGTATTTAACTCAAAGCACAGTGTATCATAAATAGTATAACCACAAATGCAGTTAAGGTATGCTAAGCCTCAGTAGCACAGTGAAAATATAATACTAGGGTTTTACTAAAGTATCCATGATTACAAGGACACTGTTCCACTTGATGCCTTCTGGAGGCGCTATCATGAAGAGCAGCATGGATGTGTCCTTTTAGGCCTAGCAAACGTTTATGTTATATCTCAACTGGCTGAGTGCAGGTTGGAAACTCACTCATCCTAATAGTCTTGCCTCTAAAATGAGCTTGGTTCTGGTTCAATTTTAATTTATCCAAAGCTTTTCCTGTGACAGGACTTTTTGGAGATAGGACTTTTTGGAAATAGCATTATATATTGTATTTATGGATACTAATCAAATGATGTTCAGCCTACTCAGAGCAAATTCACTGAATTTTTAAGAGGAAGTAGAAAAAAAAAACAACCCCAAACTCCTGAAATAATCCATTTTCACTAAGACTGTGTATAATACATGAGAGCATATAGGCGAGTCTCCATCTCCTTTATCACAATTTCAGATGACTTGGCTTTTCATCGAATGCCATATTACATAATTACCTGGGTTTTTCACTTAAATGCTCTCCCTTTATTCTGGATGAGTCCATTCATCTCCAGCTATGGAGATATGCTCTGTTCTACCAAATGAAACACAGCTAAGAGCATTTGTATTTGTATTTCTCCTGACTGCCATGAAAGAGTTTCTTGTGTTCATACAGATACAAATTTGTGCAGAGATGTACTTGCTATGTAGAACCATTTGGGTCATGGACCTGGAGCATAGCTAAGCAGACATTAACAACAGCATGGATGCCATTATTTCCCTTAATGGTCAACTGGCAAGAAGGCGTCATTCTGCTCGTTTGTTGATTATTGTGCCTTGCCCAGTGTCACAAAGCCAAGTACTTGTGGGTGCCAAGATTTGGTGCTGTGGCCTGCTTGTCTGTTTCCACTCACAGTACTAATTCTTTTGGTACATTTGGTCTCTGCAGCCATTTATGAAAATTGTGATGTGTGTCCTTGTCTCAGAGATGGGCAAGTATGGTCATAAAATTAAGGCAAGAACTTAAAGATCTCTAAATAAGTTAAAATAACAAAAGTACACATGAAGCCCTAGTATACATGATCATATTATGCAGAGAACCCTTGGTTTGCTTGGTCATGCCAGACCAGGAAAAGGCTATGTGAGCTGGAACCATGCAAAACAAGCTTAGCAATTAATGGAGAAAATTACAATTGTTCTGCCATCTTTCAATTTTTTTGTGAGAACACTGAAAGTCCTCTTCCTGTTGGTTATTAATATATTGAGAAATGGAAAAACAGCAATTCCACTGTACTTATTGCACTGTAATGTAAAAATTAGGAACATAGTTAAAATTTTATGTTTTTGTAAAAGAGTATCAAGAATAGTTTGATCTTGCCTCTTCTCATTTGTAACTTACGTGTTTTAATTAATCCAGGAAAGTCTGGTTGTTTGACTTGGTCCCTTTCTTTAGGTGTAAAGATACTCAACATTAGTTTTTTTAATCTTTAAAGCAGGTCTGATGATGGTTTATTTAAAAAGAAGAAGAAAGAGACACACATATGCAGTGACATGAACAGCCTATTACCTTGTCTGGAATGCTTTAAACATTATTGTTTATTGAAAATGTTTGCATTACATACATGTAAAAACTCTCCATTTATAATCATGATTACCCATGTGGAGGAGGGGAAATGGTTATTTAAATTCTTGATTACAGTTTCTTATATACCTGTGTTTAATGAGAAGTTCTTTCATGAGAGACCTGAATATTTTTCAGTACAACATAATACTTACCACCTATATTATAACAAAACTGTCATGTTAGTCAAATGTATTGCTGGTTTTTAAAATTCCTGTTTTGGACTCAAGGAATTGAAGTGATTTGAAATTGTCCTCTTATCCCTAAAACTCTCTATGCTCTTACTGTTGTATTACTAGCTGTCACATTGGATGCATGTCTAATAATATTTGCTACTTTTAAGGGGATGGTTAAGGTTCTCAGCATTATTTAGCAGTTAAAGTCTTAGGTTTTAAACCTGACTTCAAGTTGAACTTTTCTGAGAAGGAAAGGATGATTTGTAGGTAATTTGTGACAGTCCCTTAACTGTGTGAGCTAAGGAGCAGAGCTGACTCACTGGCTTTTGGGCTCTCAAATAAAGACAATGCTAAGTAGCATGCTTATCTTGAAATTAAGATAAGCTAGTTTTATACAAGGTGTTAAAAGATAAAAATAAACTTGAGTGCCTTCCTTGTTAATGTCATAAGAGACTGACAAGAAAATAGCAGTCATCAAAAACCAACCTTTCTGCCAATAAAGCTGTATGGTAAATATTTCATTACAGAATTTTATGTTAGACCTTTCATGGCCAAAATATTTTCTTACAAAATTCTTCCTCCTGAGGATTCACTAATCAGCATCTTATACTTTTGAGCTCCAAGGTTAAAGCAAGACTGTTTTCTACTGAATTTTTCAATATTGGCAAGCCTTTTCTTTTATGTGAAATAAATTTATTGTGAATTGATTTTTAAAAAGTAAGATTGTTTGAATAACATTCAAGTTTCATGAGCCCATGTGTATAATGCATGAGAATCTGGATGGGTAAATATGCATAGCTTAATTCTCTTAAAATAATGTACTTTTTAGATCGATTGACTTACCAGAACTGCTCAAGTAAGAAAACACTCCAATTCAATTTAAAATAACAGGAACACTGGCTCTGTTGCCATTTCTTTAAATGTATATGCTCCCAACTATGAATGGGTTGCACTCACTACTGCCTTTGCACTGGAATCATTCAGAGCTTTCTTTGGCCTTTGCAGGTAGAGCGAGAAAAGGCTATTCTCCTGGCTAACCTCCAGGAGTCGCAGACACAGCTGGAGCACACCAAGGGGGCGCTGACAGAGCAGCATGAACGGGTGCACCTGCTCACGGAACATGTCAACGCCATGAGGAGCCTGCAGAGCAGCAGGGAGCTCAAAGCAGAGCTGGATGGGGAGAAGGGCCGGGACTCTGGTGAGGAGGCCCACGACTATGAGGTGGACATCAATGGCTTAGAGATCCTGGAGTGCAAATACCGGGTGGCAGTGACGGAGGTGATTGACTTAAAAGCTGAGATTAAGGCCTTAAAAGAGAAATACAATAAGTCAGTAGAAAACTACACAGAAGAGAAGACCAAGTATGAGAGTAAGATCCAGATGTATGATGAGCAGGTGACAAGCCTGGAGAAGACCACCAAGGAGAGTGGTGAGAAGATGGCCCACATGGAGAAGGAGTTGCAAAAGATGGCCAACATCGCCAACGAAAATCACAATACACTCAACACCGCCCAGGATGAGTTGGTTACATTTAGTGAGGAGCTTGCTCAGCTTTACCACCATGTATGTTTGTGTAACAATGAAACTCCCAACAGGGTCATGCTGGACTACTACAGGCAGAGCAGAGTCACCCGCAGTGGCAGCCTGAAAGGGCCCGATGACCCAAGGGGACTGTTGTCTCCCCGGTTAGCTAGACGGGGTGTGTCATCCCCCGTAGAAACAAGGACCTCATCTGAACCTGTGTCAAAAGAAAACACAGAGGCCAGCAAAGAGCCAAGTCCAACCAAGACCCCCACCATTTCTCCTGTTATTACTGCCCCACCATCATCTCCAGTATTGGACACGAGTGACATCCGCAAAGAGCCAATGAATATCTACAACCTCAATGCCATAATTCGGGACCAAATCAAGCATCTGCAAAAAGCTGTGGACAGATCCTTACAACTGTCTCGTCAAAGGGCAGCAGCACGGGAACTGGCCCCCATGATCGACAAGGACAAGGAAGCCTTAATGGAGGAGATCCTCAAGCTCAAGTCCCTGCTGAGCACCAAACGGGAGCAGATAGCCACGCTGAGGGCGGTGTTGAAAGCCAACAAACAGGTGATCTCATTCCCCCAGCAACCCCTGCTAGCTGATGCTTCCTGAACTAGTTTATTCCTAGATGCATGGAGGATAAAAGTTCACTTCACAATGCTGGTCAGTGGAGGAATAGACCATGTCCCAATGCCATATAAGAATGGAGACATTTTGGTTTTAAGTGAATGGATGATGTAGTGAGTAGCTATGTCCCACTCAGTGGAGGCAAAGGTGAGGAAGTTAGAGCAGGAATAAAGGAGGAGATCTGGGCTGGTGCAAACAAGGCACTTTGCTGGAGCCAACAGTTGTTGCATGTGGAAAGAGAAGATAGAGGGATGGAAACAGGCTGGCATGACAGCTAACCCCGGGGAGATGTTGCAGGAAAGACACCCTGGCAGGCAGAGAGGAACCATATAGAAAAGATAGGAGAGGGAGAGGAAGAGCTACACCAGCTCTGCCAGTGACCACCTATCTGAAATTTAGGTACCATTGGGATGTTAGTTCACCTGGGTCAAAGCTGAGGTAGCAGAGATGCTTCCCTGACCACACAGCTTGTCTTTTTGGAGTAATTTGGGACACTAGGACCTGACTGCATGGACCTGCTCCTAGATCTCCTTGATCCTGATTTTATCGTCCACCTGGAGCTTTACTTGGGTGGGAGTGCTCTGGAAGAGAGGCAGAGAAATATTTTAACTTCTCTTGAGTTTTTCTGGAAAGTGAGCCTTGAGAGATGCATTTGAGAAGGGAGCTGAATAAAGGCTACTGATATAGAGCAGTACCCAATACCTCCCTGGGAATGCCAGTGTGGGAGCTTGAGTGCAGTTTCTGCTCAGAGTTCTTTCTCCTTTCACCTTTTTCTGGGGGAAACCCCCCATAACAAGGTCATCTACTATGTTGTTTTCTAGCGTCTTTATCTTCAGCTTCCATAAATCCACTGATCTATTGGTTTGTCCAGAAAGTCATAACACATTTTTTCTATGTTTTCTATGTAACAATGCATCATGACTTTTTTGACAACCCAATAATTTGGAGGACCACAGATAGTGATAATATTTATGCTATAATCATGCTTGATAGAAACCTAAAGGCAAAATGGGACCTTATTTTGCACCATTCACCTCAGGGAAATAGAAAAGACTAGGGTGAATGAAAAATTTTGTAGAGATCTGACTCCAATTTGAGGCCAGAACTAATTATCACTCATTATCATACACCATCATAAACTTGGACAATCTGAAGACCCCAGGCTCTAGAGTGTCTGTAAATGACCCCCAGCACAGCCGATGAGCTGTACATTCCTTGCTTAAGGACACGTGTCCAGAACAATCTTGATCAAGACATCCAAATCAGTCCTTGGACTTCTTCCGGAAAGACTGACAGTCTGGATTCCTGGAGCTCTGAAAGTGTCAAGACACATGGTTGAGACGTAGGTATAGATTCATACCCCAAAAGAGGTAACAAGTGATTGGTCTCCGGAAGGAGTTCCACTCACTCTGACTTTTACAGGACAGGATGAGTCAGCCCCTTGAAAGTGGCGAAAACAATGTCAGAGAAATTCAGGACCGAGCAGAGCCTTGCTGGATTGCTTTATTGTCACAGTGGGTTGTGGTGCCGTTTGTTTTATATTCTAGTCACAGTCCTGGTGACTTGACGAAGCACTGCATTTATTTGACATTTCTCTAGCACTGCATTCATTTTGCATCTCAATGATGATGACAGGCTTTGCAACTTGCTTATGTGCCTAAATAGCTTCGAGTATGTACCGATGACATTCATTATGTTTAAAGATGGTAGGATGTTAATTAAGACTAAGGTGAAAATTCCATGGCATAGAAGAAAGGGAAAGCCTTCCTTTTTAAAAATAGACATTCTCTATTCTCTATTCTCCCTGCATCTTTTAATATAATCTAGGAGGTTCTTTTGTAGGCATAGTTATCTCCTGATGAAGTAAGCAAGTGTTTATGAAGTGTCATCCGTATACTAAACTTCATTAGATGCTAAAGATTCATAAAAGAGTAATACATGTCCCCTGCCTTCCAGAAGAGGGCTCACAGAGCCGGGGGGTGTCAGAATGGAAACAGATGATCCCAGTTCATGTCACACATGCTGTCATCAAGCTAGGGAACACTGAAGGCAGCCAAATGGCTAATGTTTTCTAGAAACATTAGAAGACGCTACACAGAAGAAATTATATGTGTTAGTCCTTAAAGAGTTGTTTTCCAGAAGAGGACGTTATCCTTCCAGCCTGAAAGAACAGTGAGTAGCAGGGCACAGAGGGGGATGATACATTCCAGGGATGGCTGTGAAGGTCTCTGACTACAAAGATATTTGTATTTGGAAAGTCAGCTTTAGGGGGGTGTGGAGGATGTGGACGGCAGAGGCCCGAAGACCTGCTAAGGTCATAGATGCTTAGAATGACTGACTTCTGAAAAAGCTGTGTGTAGTGTATGGACAAACAAACCTGCCAACAAAGCTGCACCCTCAGAGACATTTTTCATGCATAGTCAATGACCTTGTGCTTCTGTTCCAGGTCTTTTGCCAATCCTCCTGCTCCCCTCAGACAACTGAGCATGCGTCTCTGTGTAACAAACACATCACATGTTCACAACTGGAAGTTCACTCTCTCTTCTAAACGAATATGTGTCTAAACTTTTAACAAACAACTGCCATCCCTTCTCCCCCCTCTCCAGGTCACTTCCTGCATTCTGGATAATTTTTTGCATCTCTCATTTTCCTGAAGACCCCTGAGTCACAGCACCATGCACACATCAAAGTATTTTATAGGGTGGCTTTTCATTTTAACCTGGATTTGAATTCAGTCAAAACTAGGACTTTGGGATCAAGAAAATAACTAACGTCTCCTACCCCACCCCAGCATTGTCCTGATGGAAAGGGGATGTCATCTTTCTAGACGCTCGCACTTTGCATGAGAAAGTTGAAGCTGTCCTTTTCTGGCACAGAAAGAAATGTCAAAAAGCAATATTTCTTCCGGAGAAACCCCACTCATACTAAATCTTGTTTTTCATCCATAATGCACTGTTTCATTAGTGTCACATATTTTCACTTGCTCTGAAAGGTGCAGTTGACAGTTTGCAAAAATGCCATTCCCATCTGGCTTCCAGGTACGTTCCAGGAGCTACGGTCCCAGCAGGCAGCCCCCAGAGTACATCGACCTCATGCCTTGATGCTGCCTTTATTTTTTTGCTCCCTACTATGTGTGCTGTGTATCTTACTATGTGTTAGACTAGTTCTCAATTTGAAACACCATTCATTCCAAAAACTCTTAGGCATGTGAACATTCCAAAGTCACAGAAATACTTTAATTCATTTCATAGTTTGTCATGTCTGCTTTCTTAGATGGTGAGGAATTAAGTTTCGCTATAATTCATTGTTTTGAGGAAGCATATACAAAGACCCAGGCAGAGACTGGCTGTGGATTCACTGGCCATTAGACACAGGGGTGTAGGGTCTGCTACGAGAGCAATGGTCTGTCCACTGCAGGCCCAGAGAGCCCAGGGCACACAGGGTATTTGAACTTTATCATATTTCAGTGCAAACTGCTTCTTCGCTCACTTCTTGCTCACATTCTCCTTGGATCAGGCTGCCTCTTGGCTCCCTTCTGTCTGAAAGTCCCACTCACTGCCCTGCATTAAATATTCACTGACCTGCTCTCATTCCCTGAGCTCCTGCTCCCGACTGGGGTCTCAGCTGTTCTGGAGTAATTTCACCCTGATGGAGACTCACAGCACAGTTAGATGCTAAAGAGCCGGCCGGTGCCCAGAGTGCAGATGTGCGCCATCTGCAGCCAGACCAGCCTCTGCTTTGCCCGTGCAGCTGGAGGGTGCAGGTGGAGCTGGCCAGGCGGACTTGGGTGGGGTCTCCGGGATGACATTTAAGCACGGTGGTTTCTCTGTCCTAGACGGCAGAGGTAGCACTGGCGAATCTCAAGAACAAATATGAAAATGAAAAGGCCATGGTGACAGAAACGATGACGAAGCTGAGGAACGAACTGAAGGCTTTGAAAGAAGACGCCGCGACCTTCTCGTCCCTGAGAGCCATGTTTGCAACTAGGTAAGGCTGCCCCCTTTCCTGTCCCCCACCTGTCCCCACCCCTTTCTCCCTCTCTTCCCCTCCCACCCTCCCTGTCTCCCACCCCTTCCCCATCCTCCCACTCCCCCTCCCCCCTCCCCCATACTCCCCAACCCTAGCCCTTCCCCAACCCACCCCCAATTCTTCTGTGGCGCACTGTGTCTTCTGAGACCTGCGCTTACTAGCTGAACCTGCAGGAGTACGTGGGAGAGACTACAGGATGCTCTGGACAAGCCTGAAGCCTTTGCGTGGTTTTCCAGAGCCCCCTGCTGGACACGCTGGGTGCCCACACTCTCCCACAGAGAGCTCCTTCTGAGTTAGCATAATAGATGTTTTGTTCTAGAGTTTCTGTGCTCGAAAGAAGGAGACAAATGGCCTGCAGTAAGGAAAAACAACCCACTTCCTAACATAGCTAAGGGCAATCCCACTGACATTTATTTCTGTGACTAAAATGCATAAAAATGCTTGTTATCTGCCTGGTGGGGGAAAGGTGCCTATACAATGAAAATGAATATTCACCGTAGCAGCTAATTACTTAGGCTTTAATGCACTGTGACTTAAACTGTAATTTCTATAATGCAGTCACATGGCACCCAAATTCACAAATTTCACATTGCCCAGCTAATTAATGAACTAATTTGTTGTTACAGCCTCCCATTATGAAGCACTGCTGTATCTTGTTTTTAAAGTTTTTAAAAATGTATTGATTCCAAGTCTCCAAATCCTGACATTTCCAATAGAGTTTTGCAATCCGTTGATTTATTCTCACAATTATATGCCCAAAACATCCCTAACCCAGAACAGTTGTCTATCTTGTGTGACACGCACTTGAAGGAAAGTTCATGAAGCGTTACTACAGCTTTATTTGCACATCCAGTAAATATTTCCTTGGAGCTGGTGCTATAAATGTGGGAAACCAGCCCTGGGTGCTTGAGGAGCCCTGCATCTGTCCAGCTGTCTTCGTGTGTCAGAAGAGAAAAAGCGCAAGTTCATGCTAAGTGGCTGAGCCCCTGGACATGGGGATGAGACACCCTGGGGTGCAGAGAGCTTGGGGAGTAGAATTTGCATACCTCAGCCTGGCTAGGGGGCCAGGTGAGAGGGGAATGGCACCTTCCCCCTTCTTTGAGGAAGGAAAGCAGTCAGGTGTAGGGGAGAAAAACTTCCCTTACTCCCCTTCTGGGTTCTTTGGCTGGTCTAATAGTTACATTGATAAAAGACAGATTAACAAGAGAGGAGATTTTAATTTCATTCATACCGGGGTCCTAGAAATAGATCAACCAACAGAATGACCAATGTGTACATGTTAATACCTTTTTGACAAGGAAATAAATGGGTAAGGAACTGACAAGATACCTGGGCTTGGGTGCTCATCTCTGAGACAGTCGTGGGGTCTGAGTTCCGTCTCTCCATCTGCCCTCTGGTCCAGGCAGGGTATCTTTCATGGGGGTGATTCATCTCCTGTTTGCAAGGACACAGGATGGTCAAAGTAACTTTAATGCAGAACTGAGGCTACCAGAGGGGAAGGGGAGAGGCCCCAAGGGACTGTGGTGGATTAATTTGGGGGCCTTCATTGTGGGTGTGATATGAGGACACGAATCTGAACAGATAGATCACATATGGTATTATAAGTCAATATAAGAGCGGCAGCGTCCTGTGGGGGGTTGGCTCCGAAGTCCATCACGGGACGTCATGTAGAATCAGAATCGAACAGGTGCTGCAGAGGCTGTGGACAGCTTCGCAGCGCTGCGCTTAACTCACTGCACCACTGAGGAGGCCCTCCATAGATTGTTTTAAAAGATATTGTTATCTGACCAGTTGAAAGAAATCCAGGTCCTGAAATCCATATTGCATTTTAGTAAGCCCTGAATTTTCTGTTTTCTCTTGACATCCTCCTGGGTTTCTTGACCTTCAAGGTTATAGAAAACAGGGGTGCTTCTGGATGTAGGCTTCCTTACCATCTATGGTCTTCCTTTACATTCCTGCAAGATTTGTGCTCATTTCAGCTCCTACAGTCCATCTGCAATGAGGCTATAAAGTCAGTAATTGTCAGCTGGTGTGTGAAGTGTATTTGGCATTATTATCGTAGTCGCTAAGTACTCTGAGTAATCGTGTGACTGATTATTCCTTCCAAATATGAATGTGCTCAGGTCAGGCTGTTGCTGGGAAAGCAGATGCCTGAGCTCGGCCTCCTGCAGCTGCTGCAGCCCAAGCAGGGCTTCCTGCAGCCTCCTTTCTGTAGCAACCCCTGGGGTCTTGCTTTGCCCCAACTCCCTACTGCTTTCTTGTCTGCTGGCGACACCATTGACCATGCTCAGCTTCCTCCTCCAGGCAAACCCACCTCAGGGGAGGCAGTGGCAGCTGTGACCCAAACTGAAATGAAACCCATAAATATAAAGAAGGGGCTGTTTTCTTTATAAAGATTGTTATTGTTTTGCCCCCTCCAGGCAGACTGGCAGGGATGTCAGTCTTACTTTGTATACAAGAATACACTGTTACACAGTGTATTTTCTACAGTTACACAGTAGAAAAAGCTATGGTAACGTGACAGCCATGAACCTTACTGGGGACATTCTGCTGTTCCCCCAAAATAATGGAGCAGCTTCCCCTACCCTGCCCCCCTCACTCCATCCCAGGTGTTTAATGTCACTTACTAAGAGTGTCCCCAGTGACCGCCATTCTGCTCCAGGAAGACAGGGTTCTGAACACCTAAATCCCCACTCACTAGTCACTGGTCAGCTCCAGCTCCATTTTCCGCTCCACCAGGGTCTGCTCATGACCACCTTTCCGTTATGGTTCCAGATGCGACGAGTATGTCACACAGCTGGATGAGATGCAGAGACAGTTAGCTGCGGCAGAGGATGAGAAGAAGACTCTAAACTCTTTGTTGCGCATGGCGATCCAGCAAAAGCTCGCCCTGACCCAGCGGCTGGAGGACTTAGAGTTTGACCACGAGCAGTCCCGGCGCACCAAAGGCAAACTGGGAAAGAGCAAGATCGGCAGCCCTAAAGTAAGTGGGGAGGCGTCCATCACCGTGCCTACCGTAGCCGCGTGCCTCCTGCATAGCCAGGGCCCACAGACACCCAGCATGCGGGTCGGCAGTGGCGCTCAGAGGAAAAGGTACGCCCGCAGTGATCTCCGTGGCCGGGGCAGGGGCCGGCTGGCCGCGTCCTGCAAAGATGAATGTGTTCTCGTGGAGGATGGGGGAGAAAGCGGGAGCGGGTGGGCGCAGGGCTGTGACGGGGATGGTTTTACCTTCTGATCCCTGCGTTTATCAGTTCCTTTCTGTCCCCTGCACGCCAACTCTACCCCATCACAATGCCATTTTCAAGTGTTGGTCAGCGTCTCGGCTGCTCCTCATGTGTGTAATATAACGTGCCTGTCACCACCGCCAGCCTGCAAGACAGATCCTAAGAATGAATCTGTTTTATGGGGGGAGCTTTTTAAAATCCCTTGTAGCTCTGCTAATGGTGCTGCTCCACACCTTCCCAATATGGGCCAGGATACTACACGTTCTCTTAGGGGAACTGTCATCCCTGTTACCAAAACAACGGCTTCTGTAGCCTTCGGTCACGTGGGGTGGAGCCAATGTCGTCTTTTTTTCTCAGAAACAGGGTTTGTGCCTTTTCAGTTGGTATGTGGCTACTGCTCAAAGACACCACCTCTGAGTTTTTTAATAACTTGGTTTTGTAGTCTGTTTCCCGAGTCCTGGGTGTAGCATTATTTGCTTGTATTTTCGGTTAATGGTAGCATTTTTATTCTTAGGAGCCCTCAGTAAAGAACCAAGTAATATAAATATTTTACATTTGCCATTCTTTCTTCTGGTGGAGGATAGAGTCCCCAAGTAGGGCTGTGTCCTAGTGTGGAAACGAAACTGCCAAAAGCTTGATTGACATGTTAAAAAAAATGCAATGCCAGTATAAATAATGTTGTCACTGGTGAGGCTTTGAAAGGTAATTAAAGTAAAACTTTTTTGTTTCCTATATGTATTTTCTTGGATCTCCTGCAAGACAATTTTCACCTTCCCTTTGTGATCAGAGCCGTCCCAGGACGCCAGGGGCTTCCTACCTACAGAATTTATTAAGCGTTGCCCCTGGTCCCACCTCCACAGAGTCATTTCTTCTGAAGGGCCCCCCTTCCATGAGTGAATTCATCCAGGGGCACCGGCTCAGCAAGGAAAAAAGGTTAACCGTGGCTCCACCAGGTAAACATTTTTTCCTTGGGTGCATGTGATGCAAATGATAAGTTAAGTAGACAGCTCCCCCTCCTCTCACCCCTACACCTCCCCCGGCAAACTTCCACAATCCCCACATGAAGCACAGAGGACTCCCCCCTCCGCTTCCTACCTCCCTGTTCTCAGCCAGGGGGCATCCCTCAAGCAGCCAGGATGGAGGGGGAGCTGGTGGGAACGGGCAGATGAAGGGAAGCCAGACACAGGTGCGATCAGGACACTCTCCAGGGGCCTGTTTGCAGCTTGGCAGCTCACAGCAGCTCATCCTGGTCAAAGCTCATCATTCTGTTCTGATCACGTGTAATGTAATTTCTGTAAAGAGAGCCATCTTCATAAAAAGCCTCTTGGGCTGATTTCCTTTTGTAGCGACTCAGAACATCCCCTCAGTCATCACACAGGAAGTGGCAGTAATGTCCTCTCAGATCCTCCCCAGGAGCACTCGGGTCCGAGTCCATCGTGCTCATGGCGTGCACACCCCGCTGGCTGCTGCTGACCTATGTGCGCACCATTGAGTCCAGCTTCCCTGCTCTTCTTTCTTCTTTTTCTTTTCTTTTCCAATTTTGCTCCTGAAGAGGCCTCCATTGGAAATGTAACTTGGGCAAATAAGGAGCATCCTTTCTGACAAATCCCTGCATGCTAAGTAGCGATCAGAGGTGGCACACGGGAAGCCCATGAAACAGCTCAGCCCAAGGGAAGCTATTATTTGGCTACCACAAGGAGCAAAAAAAAATTAAGATTAATTAAAAATTAGTTGTTGACTGCTAGAAGTTCAGATATTTCACATGAACATCGAGATTTCTGGCCTCCCTGGAGTGGTTTAGAGTATCTGGCAGCCCTGGGGAGCTGTGTTCACACCTGTCAGCAGCTGCTGGAGCTGTGGGAATAGATGTTGCTGTTAATTGGGGTGAGCTTTGAGTTTGCCACAGTCCCCCTCACTCCCTAGTGAGAGTTGTGCTCATTTCTCCCAGCCTCTGGCCTCTGCTGCAGCATTTGAATTTGCCACCTTGGCCAAAAATTTTGTTTTTTTAATTCACTTCAATTTATCTTCTACCTACTTTCCTTCAATTTTACCTTAATTCCTTTTTGGAAACCTCAGCCTTTGGCTCTCTAATACTTTCCTTATCCGATTAGTGGATCAGCCTACTGATTGGGATCAAAAGATGTGATATGGAAATTTATGTGCATATTCAACACCCTACAAATGTTTGGGGAAATAGGGAGCAATAATGAGTTGGAGGAGCATAATAGCCAAAATGGGGCCTCCTTGGTGGCCTAGGGATTAAGTCTCAGCGCTATCACCACAACAGCCTGAGTTCAATCCCCAGTCAGGGAGCTGACCCATCTAGGGCACAGCAGACCTCTCCTGTGTTGCCCAGTGCTCCCCGCAGCAGTAGATTTCAGTAAATCCACCTGTTCTGCGCCCTACTCTGTCTCTTGTGAATCCTCTCACATCTGCTCCTCTGGCCTTCACCCCAGTTCTTCAGTGCAAATATAAATAAAATCTTTTTTAAAAATAGCCAAATTGTACATAAAAAAAGCCAACACCTCTGCTAGATGTTTCTACTCTCGTCACTCACTTGCTCTTGTATGGACTCTTTTAAAGCTGCCCCAAAGGATCTTTGAGTCCCCAGAGGATAATAATTTGTCAAGGCACCATGCCCTTAAGCATACAAACCCTTTATGCCAACCGGATTTACAGCATCTAGAACAGAAATGGTGTAATGAATAAAAAACCCAACTATTTAATAAGGTGACATATCACTGTGATTGGAAGTCAATAATAAACAGAAACCACCACTGTCTTCATGTTGGCTGTCACCGTGGCTCCTTATTTCCATGGATACACCGTCATCACATTGTGGAAACCATTCGCATTGCTTCACAGACCTTCCCATGTCACCCCTGTTGTCATTTTCATTGTTAAAGGTGGCTGCAGCCTAAGTTTTGTTTCCGGTGTTGTCTTCACACCAAGCTCGGCTTCCCAACTGCTGACACCGATTTCTATCGTTTGCAATGTTCTAGGATGCTACCAGGACACCCTTGCGCCGTCAGCATCTCATGTAGTCACCTCCTTCCCAGGAGTGAGATTCCTGGGTTAAAAGTGTGAACGAACATCTTTATGGCTTTTGATCCCTTTTGATGTTGCTGTCTAAAAGGGTGTGTCAGTGTACAAGAGCCCCATTTTCACACGCTAAGGATCTTTCTACAGCTTTGTACTCACTGCGTTTTGCAACTCTGATGCTAGTAGTATTATGTTCTTTTCAATTCTTCCACTTTAAATAATGGAAGTGCCATTGGCCTTAGAAATGGTCACTGTACTCAAGATTACAGATGTAAAGAGTGAACCTAGATTCACCACTAGGCTAGAGGTTCACTTTAATGATGACTTATTATATTGATGGCTTCATCATTAAAAAATGGTTATATTTTTTAACCATTGGAGGTTAAAATAATAAGAGGAGGGTAAGCAAAACTGTCATTGCAGCCTGAGGGATTTTCAATTTTATGTCATGGAATTGCCTAGATTAGCCCTTCATAAATTCTTCAATCCATCTGACCACATTTTCTAGAATGTTCTGGTTAAATGAGGTACTATAGAAGCCACTACCCACCCCTGTCAGACAGACTGTGGCTTGTAGAAATGCTTGTACCACCGACTATAGATCATTTTTTGTAGTGCTGAACTATATTGGACAAGTTATATTAAATGTTATCTGTGATGGTTTTATTTAAACTGCCATATATATCCTGTCCCAGGTTTGATGCAAAAAATACCTTAAACCCACAGGAAGTAGATTTTATGAGCGTTTTTTTAATCCATGAGTTTTGTACAAGTTATTGATTAATTTAATGTTTATTGACTGATAATATTGTTTCATCAGTTTAAAAAGGTAATTAATTCATTGTTAATTTTTCCATGTTTTATGATAAGCATTTTTAATATATATTTTTAGGTGATTTAGGTAATTTTTTAAAATAAGGAAACATTGGTTCACATCCTTGTTTGTGTAGAAGTACAGGGGTCTTTCTCTGGGGGTGTCACCACACCCCACCCACCTCCAAGGCAACATAGGTTTTGATTGTTTTTCTGAGAATCACTGTAGTGATTAAATCACTAAAAATGAGGTTTCTTTCATTGAGTTTGGATCCTTTGGTTCAGGAGTTGAGAGAAAAATAAATCTCATTAAAAATTTTGAAACATAGAACAGAAACAATCCTTTACCGTATGGAAGAGGTATTTTCAAATAACATTTCATTTTTATAAGACAGTCAGGAAAACCCCATCTTCTTCAAGGCACAACTTTTCCATTTCTGCAGAACCAACCATCACTGTACTGATGGACTTAAGGCTAGACCCACCTTGTGGAGGAAGATTCTGGCACATGCCCTTTGACTTTGGCTCATTCCCTGCCCCCCAGGCCCTGAAGGTCCAGTTTCTAATCAAGGCCTCTTGCATCCTGTCCCAGCTCCTACTGCAGCTGCCCCCGCTGCGTTGACCAGGGACGGGGTTGTGCATCTTCAAGGGTCTTGTCACTGCGGTGATACTTTATCTGGAAACCTTAACTGCACTGACCTATATAACAATAATAAAACATGACCATTATGACCAGTAATTAAAATCGACCTACCAGAATATGTAAGAGGCATATGCAATTCATAGTATGAAATATTATTTCTACACGAAGACCTGCCTGGGTTTTTTGTATAAGACAAATGAGAAAATTTCGAATTGGCAAGAGCCAGTTGGCGCGCTCTTCTGGAAGTAACGGTCCGAACCCTTTGCTGGCCGCACTGAGCTGGCCTCCCCTCTGTGGGTGCCTCCCACCCTCCCTAATCACCTTTCCTGGCCCCCCTTTCCTTTCACTGCCGCCCTTACTTGTCATGACATCGGGACATTTTCTTTTTTTTTTTTTTTTTTTTTAAGATTTATTTATTTATTTATACAAGCACTGGGTACAGTCAGAACCACAGGAGGGTGAGAGAATTCACCAGAGCCAGAGCAGGGAGCAGAGCAGGCAGAAGGAACAAAGTACACTGCTGAGGGGAGCAGCGGGCGGCAGGAGAGGTCTGCAGGCCATGTGGGACCCTCCTCTGATGGCCGGGGAGTAGCCGGGGATCGAACCGGCGCTGCAGAAGCTGTGGGCAGCTTCGCAACCCAGCGCTCAACCACTGTGCCACCACGGAGGCCCGACATCGGGACATTTTCTGTGACAGTTTAGATTTTACTCATTTATAGAGCCGCCCACAGAAACTTGTTAACCCGGGGCGTGTCATCTCCCACCAGATGCCTTGTCAGCTGTGGACTGTCCCATTTCCTGATCGCACACCTTGCGTATGTGGCCAGTCTTTTTCTTTTTCTATTAGTCCGGATGCATTTTACATGAAAATATATAATACCCGCAAGTTTCTTTCCATTTCTTTCAGGATGTCCCCAAGTAGCAATTCATTTTGGCTGGAGCTCTGAGTGTAGGATGATCTTGAGTTGGAAAGTGTCGAGATAACAGTGCTGCCAGGAGCGGCATGGGATCCTGTCCACCCACCCCTGTAAGGACAGACACCTGACTGAAAACTGAAAAGCACAAGAATTGATCGATTGCCCCGATAGCCGTATATTTGCTTTGTTTAGATAAATACCAACATCCTCCCATTTAGTGGACAGTTTTGATTTGCATCCAGATATCGTATTTCATACACAAATACCTTGGGGTCTTAGGGTCTTTTGCCTCTTGCCAAGGGGCTCAGTGTCAGGTGTGCATGTCTTGAGCTCGTGCACAGAAATGCATGGCAATCATGAGGTTTCCTGTCCCATGTCTCCCAGGCAGGACCAAGCAGCCTCTTCCCTGCACACAGCTCTCAGTTTGGCCTCATTTGCATTCCTCTGTGAGTCCGGCTGTTCCTCTGGGATAGGAGCCCTCCTTCCTTGGTCTTTCCGTCCCCAGGAACCTGCCCTGAACCTATCTGCAGTGGCCCGA